ATAAATGTAATCAAGAAGAAAGCAAATGAGTTTATCTAGAGCTTTACCATTCTAATTTGTAGCCACTACTCACATGTTGCTGTTAAATACTTAAATTGTGACTAGACTAATTTTATATAGACTGTAAGTGTAGGACACATACTGGATCTTAAAGAGCACAAAACTAACATTTTATTAATTTTTCTGGGGGCGGGGGTTCAAGACAGGGTTTCCCTATAGCTTTGGAGCCTGTCCTGGAACTCACTCTGTAGACCAGGTTGGCCTCGAACTCACAGATATCCACCTGCTTCTGCCTCCCACGTGCTGGGATTAAAGGCGTGCACCACCAATGCCCGCCCTATTTTATTAATTTAAATATGTGTTGAAATAATATTTTTCATATATTGGATTGAATATGATATTATTAAAATAGCTGATCTAATCTTCATTGAATGTTCCTAGGCAAACTAACTCTTAAATGTAGGCTTTTAAAGTTCAGATACTGAGATTCAGATTGCTACTTCAAAACTAAACATTTTCGAAATTGCTCTTTTTTCAATCATATTTATAAATACCAAACCTAGTTTGTTTGTTTTTTTTGGGGGGGGGGAGCTGAGGATCGAACCCAGGGCCTTGCGCTTGCTAAGCAAGCACTCTACCACTGAGCTAAATCCCCAACCCCAAACCTAGTTTTTACCCATTATCGAATAAGCTTGCTGCAGAATTGAGGCACTAAGTGGTGCCCAATTTTTATGAAAGAACTCTACTAAGTGGAAGTAAAATGAATAATAAGGATATTTTTCAGGAAAAATGTTTTTACACTTATTACTGAAACTGCTTCCCTAGCTATCCCTTATTAAGAGACTGATAAGCCATACTCACTTTATTGCTGTTTGACAAACCACACTTCTTATGAAAGTAATAGTAGTTTTAAGATTGTATAGCATGTTGATTTAATTTAAATATGTTACTGATTTGAGCTATAAAATTAAAAAGCATTAGTGTCTCTTTTAAAAGGAAACGAGTTAAATGGGATGGAGATGCATGGTGTGAAAGACACAAAGAACAAATGAAAAGAAGGAAAAAAGAAATGTCGATTAAATATAGTTATATAGTTAAATGTAAGAGCATTAAATATAGAAATAGAGGATTGAAAGTATCTTTCAATTTTTTCCTAAGAAACTATAAAATCAATTATGATGGGAAGAGAAAAAGAGGAAGGAGAGGTTGACTGTTACTAGTCAGTAAACAAGGCAGTCACTCCAGGCAGAGATGACACCACTCAGCCGTGTTCCTCACAGGTGTGTTTCATGCTAGTGTCTGTGAGCAGTCAGACAGTTGTACATCAAAGTACTACCATCTTCTTCCCAATTCTTCCTTCCTCTGCCTCATGACTCAATATATAGGTAAACAATAGTTTTAACCACTATGTCATCATAGACTTAACAGCATTCAACAGGTACCTATTTCCTTAGTCATATTCACATTTTAAAATAACCATTCTGAGTTTCCTATTTTTGGAGTCTACAGTTAAAATGCACATAGAATGTCGTTGTGCATTGTGAGTTACTTAATTTCAATTTTCATTTTGGTATTTGTTTTTTAAAGTATGCTTTTCTATTTGCACTATTTACTTGAATTATGGAAAATAATTGTGCATCTTTTACATTGCTGTCCCTATCATTTCAAATTTATTTTTATATTGACAGTCTTGTGCTATCCTGTCAGCATTATGGTTTTAGTCTCTAAAATGTCAGATCCAGTGACATTTATGCCACTTTGTTATTGGAAAGCAGGGGCCCCAGAAATTCTGTCTTTGTTTGAAGTGATGGGAATTAAGACTAGACCAAGAGCTTGTTCAGCTGTTCACCATGCCAGGCACAGGGGGTCATTGGCAGATCTGTTTCTACTAAAAGCTCTCAGTGTAACAAAGGTGTCATGTAGCAAAAGGTGAGTGGGAATTGAAGCATACTGTAGTTACATGAAAGGAGCAAAATGGAAAATAAACTGAGGAGCGCAAAAGTGACCAGTCTTTATTGTGGCAAACACTGAATGTGTTTGCTTTATGACTGCAGTATCAGAGCACCGAGTTACAATTGCCTTTCATCAGAACAGAAACTGATGGGAAGGAGTCACTAATGGGGAAATCAGAGGTATGAAAGGGTGACTTCTGATAAATTGAGAAGCTAGGGAAAGCATAAAAAGAAGTAATAAAACTCTCGCGCTTTCCCTGGAGTTGGGAAGCAGAACATTCTTGAGAGGAGAGAGCCATGCAAGCATCAGATTGGTGTTGTGTGGCTCAGTTTGGCCCTCCAACACACTTGTTAAGAACCTTCCTCATGGATAGCATCTCCCTGCACAAGCCCCGCAGCTCCTCCTATGGGGCCTGCCCAGCTGCTTTTGAGCAGAGAGGCATTTTTCCTGAGCCTCCAGTCTTTTCTTTTGAGGTAAACACTGAACACACACACACACACACACACACACACACACACACACACACACACACACACACACACACTTGTCCCCTTTAGCCCCTTCCCCCACATGCTCTGCTCTACATCCTCCTTTCCTATGTGGCTTCTTATGCAGTCTTAGTCCTCTGAAGTCGTCAGTAGCCCCTGAAGGTACTGCATCACATATTACTATTCCCATTTTGGTCGCTGAAAGGAAGCCCTTTATAGAAGTTGGTACTTGGTATGCAGGTGGCAGGGACAAAGGTGGGGTCACACCCAGTTTCTGACTTCAGATGCTGTGGACTCTGGCAGTGCAGTACGGCTCACAGCCACACACAGTGTTTCCTTCACACCCACAGCGAGCAAACAAACAAGACCTGCTCTGGCCCAACCATTCCTTCCACTCTGGTTTTTTTTTGTTGTTTTTTTTTTTTTTTTTTTTTTTTTTTTTTTTTTGCCAGATTCTTCAACTGTGACCACACTCACACCCATAACACGGCTTAGTGGAAAGGCTGCTGACTTTGGAGTCAGGGTTCAAAGCTCACTCCTGTGATAGCTGTATAGCCATGTAATAATGAACATGTTTCCAAGCCTGAGTGAGTTTACTCATCAGTAATGTACCTACCTCACAGAACGGTTGGAGTGCTCAGTTCAGGGAGAGAAGTGAGAAATTTTAATCTAGCATTAAATAATCGTCTCTTGTATACTAAGTTCAGCCCTGACCTGCCACATCCTTCCATAGCTTGGGTTCCAAGGCCCTGCCTAGGGGCAACGAGGGAATGAAGAAATGGTAGACACAAGAAAAGATGGGACCAGGTGGCCTGTGCTCTTGGATGGAGAAGCCACAGTATTCCCCCACCCCCAAGCTCAGCATGCTTATTATATGTAGCTAAATCAAAGAGGCAAGGTTTATGGTATACAGACGAATCAAGGAGGTACATTTAGCAAATCATAGCAGGAGCCATTCATTTCTGTAGGGGAACAGTCATCCAGCTGTAAACATGGGGGGAAGGGAAAGAAAGCTACATTTTCTGCATACACTGCCACATTCACACTTGGACCAGGAGGGAAAGCTTTGCCATTTCCCTATGCCTAAGCCAGGGCAAGCGTTGCCATTTCCCGTGGGTCTAAGACATTGGGAACATGGCTGTGCCCGTGTCAATAGCACACATTCACTCAAGATTTCAGTAGTTCCATATACTAACTGACCTTTCTTTGGAATTTTACCAGCTCAGAATGTTCATGGCCTTTTCTCAGATTCCAACTTTCTCCACCTGTATCTACCTTTATTTCCTCTATACCCCTGACTTTCTTAATATTGTATTATTGATCCCTCCTTTTCTGATGGTGTCTCTTCTGTACTGCCTTCTTTTATTTTTTATTTTTTATTTTTTATTTTTTTGCCTGTACGTGAGTAGGTTTTGTAAGGTTCTACCTGCAGCCATTGCTCTTGTTTACAGGACTAAGTTGAATTAATAAACCAGAAAAGAGATCATGTTATCTATTGCATTGTGCAGTCTGTCCGTGGTTCTTACTTTCTTGTCTCCCTTTTACATTCAAATACAAAAACACCACATTGTATTTTATACATCAGCAAACAGGTATAACACTATTAGTAGTGGAATGCCCCTGCCCACACTCAGTGTGAGGATGTTGATAGTAATTTTGTTTTCCAAATATGGTCTGTTAGTTTTTGTTGTTGTGAGATACTGTCTCCTGTAGCCCAGATTGGCCTTAAACTCACTACCTAACAGTGGATATCCTTGAACTCTTGATCCTGCTACCTCCACCTCCCAAGTGCTAGAATTACAGGCATGTGCCACGATGCCCAGCCGTTACTACCTGCATTATCTGTTTGTTCTTCAGAACAACATTGCAAAGTACTTAAAAGACCCTGAGTTATTCAACATATTTTATAGATGATATTAAATTTTTTTCTCAGGCTAGGGGTGTAATTCAACAGCAGAGTACCTGCTTATAATATACAAGGCTCTGAATTCCATTCCCATCATTGCAAAAACTAATTAATTCTAACTTTGGCTCTGGGAATATTGCCTTTTCTGTGTAAATCATACTATTTCTTTTCGTATTTCACATAACTTCTATGATATGTCTATAAATGCTACATTTTATTCTTATTTGACTTCAGGAAAACTAAGACAAAGGTAAAATTCAAAACAGCAAATTGAGTTACTTATCAGCAGATCAAGGAAAAGCTATAAATTTGGAGGCAGAAAGGTGACTATAAGAGTTTGTGGGAAATATATACATGTACTTATTTTTATTTTACTTTGGGACAGGGTATTTCTTTGTACTGAGAAATGAAGACATTTGTTAGTAAGAGCTTCCTCCCATATATAGATGGAAGCTGACAAACAGTATAAAAAGTTGTATTGTCACAGTCTTGAAAGGGTAAGAAGATAAGTTTAGTTTAAAATGGGGGATTTCATCTCTGTAGTCAGAGAAGTCTTCATGTTACCATAGATCACATCCATTCATTCATTCATCCTTCACTCTAATTGTCTTTTGTTCCTACCTAATGAAGTATGTTGTATGTTTATTTTGCAGATCTAAAGCGGGAAGCCAGTATCTGTCATATGCTGAAACATCCACACATTGTAGAGTTATTGGAGACATATAGTTCAGATGGAATGCTTTACATGGTTTTTGAATTGTGAGTGTGCATTTTATTTTTTCAGTAAAGTTTTAAGTGATGCTGGTTGTAGAAATTTTTAATAACTTTCTCTTCGAGTTTAGCAATAGCCATGGACTCATGTGTTTCAAGAGACCTGAAGTCACAGGTAAAAAAGGATTTTCTCATGTAAGGTTACAAGTGATAAAGGAAACAGAAGCTGGGCATATCAGGTACTCTCATATTTTCAGCACATTTAAGAGAAGAGGCTCCAAAATGAACTAGAATTTAAAGGGTAAAGACACCCCAAAATATTCAGTTTGCGGTCTTAGTGAAGAAGAGGGAGATGAGAGTGAAGGATTCCATGTAGGAAGTCTCTCTGGCAACTCAAAATGTGTGATAACATACTTAAGTTTCTCTTTTGATGTAACCATATTGCCATATAAAAGGAAACTTCACAGCTAACAGTATCTGAATTTTAATATACTAACTACTTCACTTGCTTCTCACATAATTTTGTTGTGAGCCTGGATAGATGTCCAAAGAGTTTATATAAAGCTTTATGGAATGACATTATACTTACTTAATCTTTAATCTTACTATATTCAAAATTAACCCATGACTTGATTAGGAAAGCAGGAAAAGGAGGCTATACTAGCTTTAATATTCAAGATCCACCAAACCAGATTATGCATTGCTTCATAATACATTGCTCCAAATTTTAGTGGTTTTTAAGCAACACCCATGTACTACCTCACTTTCTGTGCATCAGGAATAAGGCCCAACTTAGCCAAATCCTCTGGCTCTACATCTCTCACAAGATGGCTCTGGACTTTGCCAATCCCCTGGCTGTTAGCAATCATGTACTGAGGGATTCATTTCCTAAGAGCTCTTGGCCTGAGGCATTCCTTAGTCCCGTGTCACGTGGGCTTCTTCATAGACCAGCATGGCTACTAGCTTTAATAGAACAAGCAGCAAGTGTAGAGATCAGTCTCACAACTTAATTCTGAAAGTTGCACATCATCTCTTCTGCCATATTTTATTAGCTAGAAATGATTCGTTAGATCCAGCTCACATACCAGGACCTACATAGCAAGAAGCAGGAGTCTCTGGGAGACATTTCACAAGTTGCCCCCTCCTAATACATTGCCTATCTGTATAGAAATTTGTGTCCAAAGAACTAAAACAAAGAAAGTAAAATTGAGGGCAAATTTAGCTACGTAAGCGCAAGATTAGTGTGAATTTAATTATGACTATTTACTTGGAAGAGATATAAATGTTTTGATTAGTTGTTTGCAACAGCTTAGAAATTCTGAATGGAATCTTAGGCTACATTAATTAGAAAGCATATAGAATTCAAAACAAAGCCATACTCCCACCCTTACACACTGCTCTTTCTCCCTGGAGTGTTCATAGTAAGCAGGACACCACAGTGTTTGTAGAAGAGGACAACCAGAACAGAAAAGCCTGCAAATTCCATCATAGAGTCGCAGCCTTCAAAACACTGGATAACAGATGTGCTAGAATCATGAGCTGGGCCTGCTATAAGTTGATATATAAAAACTTTTATTGTGGAGCTAGTGAGGTGGCTTAGAGATTAAGAGCATTAGCTGCTCTTGGAGAAGACCTGGGTTAGAGACCAAGAACGCACATGGCAGCTCACAACCATCCACAACTCCAGTTGCAGAAGATCTGTTGTCCTCTTCTGGTCTCTGGAGGCACCAAACATGTATGATATACAGACATACATACAAGCAAAACACCCATACACATAAAATAAAATTTTAAATTTTAAAATATTTTATTGTAAGATTGTTACTTTCAGCACCTTGAATGTTCTTTTAAATATATTTCCTTCACAACCAGTATAGCTACATTTTAGGAAATGTCCACTATGTGACCTATATGGCAAAATAGATCCTCTCTGTCAAATCACAGAGCCCAATCAGACTTGCTTTCTGTCAAAGAAAAGAATCTGACTTCTTTCCTTTTTTATAAAATTAAAATGTTAATAGGCATCCTGACAACGACATTCATATGACTATTGATTTCAAGTTCTAAAATAGATGAAGCTCTCCCATAAACACATTCTCTAGCTATAAGGTGGTGCCTCCTTTCTTTCCTCAAGGCCTTGGCTTTGCTTCTAGGGTACATTCCTCTTCAGGAGCTTTGCATTCCCCGACTGCCTTTGAAGGTAGATAGGCTTTTGGGGACAGGGGAACAGTTGGTCTTTTCAGATGGCTGATTGTAAATGCAGCGATATGAAAGGGAGCCAGCCTAACAGATCACAGCATTTGTTTTCAGGCAGACCAGGTTATGGTAAATGAGGAGATGGAAATGGATTGCTTTAAAGCATCCTACGTCTGGAGCCCAGCAATATGGCTTCAACAGATAAAAGCTCTGGCTATGTTGGATGGGCCTCATCACCTGAGTTAAATTCCCAAAACAGAATAGCCTGGAAGCTCTCAGGCAAGCTAGCCAGGAGTACACAGTGCGGCAGAAACAAGGGAAAGCCTGCCTTCACACAGTGGAAGGTGAGAAACAACTCTTGAAAGTTGTCCTGTGACTTCCACATGCACACTGCGGGGCTCACAAAAGATATTCTAGGTAAGGTTTTTTTAATCTAGTTCACATGTTCCTTGGAAAGATTTTGAGCATTTCTAGACATACTTGAATCCCAAATGAAGTGCCCTGGGATGGAAGAGCTCTTGAAGACATTGGAGTCATAGCTACCCAGGAATGTATTGATCTTCTTCTTCTAACAGTCCACCATAGGGAGAACACGATCAGTATCTTCAGTTATTTGAAAGACTGTTATCTGTAAGAGTTTGTGCTTCTTCTGTGGCATTACAGGCCACCACTAGAATCAACAAGTGACAAATTTCACCTTTAAGTAAGGAAGGGTCTCAAATGACAAGATTTAGTCCAGGAATGAAGCTGCTGTCCTACAGGACACACCGAGGAGCTGTATCCATCCAAGAGGGCTGCAGGTCGGTTTTCCTTTGAGACTCGAGAGGGTCTCTGACATCCCACACAATTTTAAGATTATAATTCTTTTTTAATCACTTTTCTGGTTTAATTTGATTCTTCACTCAAGAACTCTGTCTCTGCCCATATTTTATTCTGAGAGAACTAAAAGCAGTTTGAATCGTGTACTATAAAGTAGCAAGCACAGAAAACAAAATGTTTACATTGATCTAAATTTGGATAGTCACGCTGCTTGCATCAGGGGCTCCTAAAAGAACAGTGTAGTAGAGAGATGATGCTCTTTGTTGTCATGAAATCTGGATTTGGGCTTCTAGTGGTGAGGTGGTCCTTAGGAGATTTTTGTGACTGATTTTGTATGATACCATTCTGAGTAAAATAATCCAGTGGCTGTAACTAAAGATGACATCTTATTAAAGATAAACATTTACCAGTGGCCTGATCCTACTGTTAGCCTAAAATAATAGAACATGGTTGTTTTCTTTTTTCACCTATTATTTTAGAAAATTCCAGATAAAAAGGGAGCCTAATATGATGAAAGCGAGCACTGAGCTTCAACAGTTATCAGAACATTTGATAGTCCCTGTTCAAGCTATCCCTTCCTATGAGCATTTGCCCCTGAGATTTCGAAAACAGTGTCATTTCACCTAGAAACATTCCTGTTTTAAATGATAATACCATTAGCATGCCTAACAAAATCACCAATAAGTACTTAATATCATATCATATTCACTTGACTTTCAGCTTTTCCTAATTGAACATGAATCTTAAATGACAGCTATCTAAATTTAGAACTTTTTTATGAGCTCTAGGGACCTGAAAGTAGATTATAAATTCACAGCTAAAATAACAGTGATTTCTTTAAAAGGCCAGAACCAATATAGAAATATAAAACTCTTCTTTTCTACCATTATTTTATAAATGAGCCTTCACAGCAATCTTTGCCCACTTTTTCTACCTTAAGCCAAAAAACCGGAAACAGATTTCTGTAAGAATTGTACTCAAAAGAGCAATGCTAGTACCTTTGTGTTTGCCTCCACCTACTGGCAAAGAGAGGGAATGCATCTACAGCTGCAGTGTGGATTAAGCTACTCCAGAATTCCGTCCATATTCCTGGCCATGAATGTAATTTCCCCTGGTATTCAAGGGTTTGTTGCTCAAGTTGTGAGGATCTGGATCCTTTTCACAGTTTTCTAATGTTACATCAATACAGAGTAGACAGGGAAAGGGGAAACAAATGAAATTGGGCCAATTGATTTTGTTGTTTCATGGCTTCTTGGAAGCTCTTATGAGAGGAAAGGCTAGACTGAACAGCATATTTGGATTACCAGCACGTTTTTAAATTTGGTATCCATATCTATCTTTGCTGCAGTCTGTGTGTAACCAATACTCTTTTTCTAAATTACACTCATGAAATTATATGGTATAATTATGTTGCTTGAGTATTAGAAAATCCTAGGAAATAGTAGGTATCTACATAATTACAAATAGTTTGTAAATGTAAAGCATACTTAAATACAGATTCACAGAACCAGAGTTGAACTGGAAAAGATCTGAAGCAATAGATTTCAATGCTTGGAAAATCCTTTCCAAGCCAGTTGTGGTGGCACCCACCTTTAATCCCAGCATTCAAGAGGCAGAGGCAGGCAGACCCAGAGTTCGGTCTACAGAGTGAGTTCCAGGACAGCCAGGGATACACAGAGAAACCCTGTCTCAGGAAGGAAGAAAAAAAAGAAACAAAGGAGAGGGAGAGGGAGAGGGGAAGGGAGGGAGGGAGGGAGGGAGGGAGGGAGAGAGAGAGAGAGAGAGAGAGAGAGAGAGAGAGAGAGAGAGAGAGAGAGAGAGTGAATCAATCCTATGTAGAGTATCTTAGTGAAGCACATACCCAGGTCCATCCTTGGGTTCAGTTTGAACAGATGCAGGTCTTCATGGGACCAGGTGACCTTTAAAGCAGGGCTAATGCTTAACGATTATATTGTCATCTTGCCACCGCCTGCAGTCAGACTGTTAGACAAGTGGATAGTGCCATTGCTTTGGGACTAGTCTTCACTTTGAAC